CTATTTGATAACTTGGGATGATATATCAAGAGAAATATAAATTAGAAAATACACAGAACAATGATAATTTATAAATATAAATTATATTTTATTATTTATTAATATTTCTTCAAATTTAATCAAACATTCCATAAATTTTTGTTTCATTTTATACAAAAAATATCCTAAATCATCTTTCCAAATGAAACGATTTTGTATCAGAAATTAATCAATACAAAACAAATAATAATCATTATTAAAAATGCTTCTAAGTTAGTCATCAAATTATGCTACATTTACAAGTTAAATCAAAATAACAACAAAATTTATATTAAAAAAATTCAAAAAAACTATTGCCCTTAAAAATACATATATTATTCGATTTTCAATATAAAATAATTACCAGAGCCCTCTATTCTTACCACTTTTTATGCTCTCGAAAAGAATACAATAATATTCAACTCAAGTTCTAATTCAATTAGATTTAATATTCATTAGCCCTCTTTATTAATTCTTCTTTCCTTCAATAATTTTGTGTTATTTAAGAAAAATATTATTATACGACTTTTTGGTATGAGATGATTAACAAGTGCTCTGATAAAGTTGACATCAATACAATTATGTTATTCTGAATAATATTCCACTTTTTGATAATAATTTACTCCAATATTCTCTGAAATAAGCCAAATTTTATATATATTATGGTTAAGAGAGATAAATAATGAATGTATTTATACATTAATTGATAATTCATTAAATATTATATCTCTTGTAATGATCTTTAATTAATAATCAATTCCATTTATTTACAAGGTGGAATAAAAAATAGTTTTAGTATTAATAACCAGGAGGAGGATGTAAGCTTATAATTTTAAAGTAGATTTAAAATTTCTTTCAACTGTAGAGAAATAATACTGCCTTCAAATAAAGAGGCTCCATCTAAATAATAAAAGATCTTCATAATAATTTATTTTGAAATGGTAAAAATTATATATAAATATTTAGCACTAGCCTCCTTATTTTAAAGTAGAAGAATTTTATTAATTGAATCTTTTTCAATTTAAATTGTGGTGAAAATCACTGTTCAAATAAATATACAAGAGAATAAAATGATCATTGAATGTTATAAAAGACAGAAATTTAGGACTAATCATCAAGTATTTGGCTAATATTTCGAATTTGCCTCTTTATAAGACCATATTTCTAAGACTTAGAGCTCCTAAAATGGTTTCTTAATTTAATCAATCAGAAAATATAAATGTTTTCACCCCTTACATTAGGTGATTCACAATACTAAACAACTTATTTGCTGAAAATTTTTCAATGAGATTACAATAAAATCAAAGTATTTACTTCAGGATTTAATTTTCATTTATAGTGAACTAAAAATAAATTTTCTATCAACTTTCTAACTATTCAATCCCCTCAATCAGCTAATCCAATAACTCTCCTGTAGCCTTAATCCAAAACCACTTATTAACATTTACATCATAATTATGCATCTTTACATTATTTTACTTTATTAATCATTTTTCTTTATTCATCACCATATTCTTATTGCTTATAAACTTATTCTCTTTGAAAATATAAACGATAAATTTTATTTGACTTTTCTTAAGTTATTCAAAATATATTTTTTTTCAATATTTTGTCGACCAATAGATGGAAGAGTATCAAAAACACTTTAGAATTTAGAATGATATCAAGTTCTAATTTAAGTATGATAAATCCAAATATTCTTTCTAAGTTGGGTTTGTTATGATTTAATTTTATTCAGCAATAGTAAATAAAATGTGACTCTGCAATGTATGTAAATTAATTTCATTTCATAACGAACTGAATAAAGATGTTTAAGTTTATGTGTAATTTAAGTAATAATCGTACTTTATTCTTTAAATGTATCTTAGATTACATTTGAAAAACATCAAATTTTAGTTTAACTGATTTTCTCTAACAAGATGTGTCTCCAAATCTTCGTCCATGAATACAAATCATAAGACTCCACAAAATTTCTCCTAAATCTTTTAACAAGCTCTCTTCCCTTACATTTAAGTATTTACTCAGTTATAGCATAATAACTTTTAATAAATTCCTTTAACCATTCGCAATAGTTTAATTGATTCCCTCATTCATAATTCTAAAGGATAGATTTTTCCTGTGATTGGAAAGAACCAACAGAAAGAAGTCCAAAATCCAACCATCCCTTTTTTCACCTCTTTTCTTCTGAAAAAGCTCAATTTTGATCACTTAATTTCCTGATCTATACCTAGAGTCTGGCTCTTCTTGGTGACCATACAGATTTACACTTCAATCACAGTTTCTTTTGCATTTGCTCCTCACCTTACAGACTAAAAATCGAAAATGAAAATTGTTAACTTTTATCCAGAAATGTCATTTAACAGCTTTCCCCTTCAACCTTCACTATCCCATAAATATCCTCATCTAATCTCACATTTGTTTCGAATTCTATAGAGGACTTTGTTTAAAATTCCCCTTATCTGCAATTTGATAGATCTTTCTTTTACTACTTCGTCTAATTAGATTATAATGGATAACCTTTATGTCTTTCAGATTTTCATAGTGGATGTGAAAGAGCTGTTGTTATTTATGTACAAATAGAGTTAATGTAACTTGTCTAAAGAGTCAAGAACTATTATCTCTTCTCCTAAATTTTGATAACTTTTGATTATAAGTCTGAAAACTGATAATTATATTTGCATCATATCTGTTTCTACTTCATAAAACTTAGGATATTCATTTTCGTCGATATCCTTTCCCTACTTATCAACCCAGCAGTTCAAGATTCTCTTGTAAAAGTTTTGCCCAACAATTCCCCTTCTCTAAGTTGTGAGCCTTCAGTGAATAACATTTTGAAAATAAAGTCATTCATTGTCTCTTCTCAATTATTGTAAGAAACAGTTATTAATATTTAAAAATCTTGTCTTCTAGTGAGGTGATCTTAAATTTATATTGAGATCAAAAGAAATTAGAATTATAATCTTAAGATATTGATTTCTTTAAATGTGCAATACCATAAAAAAAGTATTTAAATGTTTAAACTTAGAAAGAATTTGTTTGCAAATTCAATTCTAATAACCTAATGCACTCCTATTAATCTAAAAAAGAAGTTTAGTAGGATTTTAGACAATTCTAATTCTAAGTTTTAGAGAATATTGTTGGTTTACTAAATTTAATAGTTATGATTTATAATTGAAATAAAGTTTTTGTAAAAACTACTGAGATGTGTCTAAGGGGATAATCAAATTTTTGTCTTTGTTTAAAGATGACTAAAATTTTGCAAGAAATTTAATCTTATTGCATCTCTAATTTTATTACATCTAAGATTTTTAATAAACAAGATTAAACATTTAAGAGCCTAACTTTACTCCAGAAGCAAAAAAAATTGATTTATCAGACAATTTTATAATTTAATCTTTATAGAAAGTAATGGAATTTTGAACACTCCATTTTCAATCTAATGATACTTAAATAGAGGTCAGTAAGAACTGGGACTAGCATCATCCCACTAGTATTTTCGTTTTGAAGTTATCCCAGCCTATCTTGATTATTCATTTCTTAGTCTAGCAATGAGCAGGTGGCGGTTCTCAGTTAACTTATTAGCCTCACTTCTAAAAAATCACATCACATTCCAGAAGCGCCTAAAAAGAAAGATTCTTCGATCCTTCAAAAGTGTGATATTGTTCTTACATATGTAAGGCAAGACAGGAATCAATGAGCTGAATTCTCGCACAACTACACATTTCCGATTTAAACAATAAATAGTTGGGTGAGAGCTGGCTAAAAATTCCAAATTATCAACCTCCTCACAATTGTGTATAAAAAATAATATTTTCTTTGTTATTGTTACTTTATTATTTTTAATGTCATAGGAACGTATGAAAACAAGAAATGCCTTAAGCTCTAACATATAAATATATTCTCCCAAAAAATCTAATTACGTTTCGACACATTAATAGACTAAAACTTTAATTAGCTTTAATATAGATACATAGTTGGTATAATTCCCTTGCTAGTCAATATAAAATAGCAATCAATTGGTTTTAAGTTCTATATAATTTGATACCCTATGTAAGGATGGCATATTAATGATATTATTATTTTTAAGTTAAATGATATTCATTTGATGATTTAAAATTACTGAAGGTATTAAGGTATTGAATATAAAAGCACTTTTTAAATTTTTATTTTAGTTATTTGTTCTTTATGCTCACCTATTTAATAAGCTTATTATAATATTTTTCTATACTATTCTGAAAATTGGAAGTAAATTTCAAGGTTCTCATAACATTTTATATTTATAATCGAAATTATAAAAAATTTAGAATATAATAATTATTTTATATCATAAATTCAATTGATTATAAAATATCCAATAACATAATTCATCAAAAGTTATTAATAAAATGCTGCTTATCGCTAGGAATATTATATATACTTTATGGGCTGTAGCTAAATAATCGCCATTTAAAACAGAACAAACTTGAAGCTTTAAACATTTGCTATGCTCTCAACTATAAATTTATTTTCAACTACTAAAGTTGCATCCACAGTAACAATTAATAGAATAGACTCAATCGTTGAAGTTATAAAAATGAATGGCAAATAAATTAGTTGTTGTGTTAATCCTAATTCTTTTACCTTAATTACCTCTTTAAAAGAATCAAATTATTAAATTGTAAGTTTAATTCTAGGAATTAATTAAATATTGGCCATTCCATTTTCTAAAATTTGTTAATGATAATTATACTTATTGATATGAATTTGTATAATTTATAAATTATAGAGATAGTTAGGGTAGGATAGGATAACAAATCTGCTTTGAAAAACAATAATATTACACAATCCCATTTATCTACTATGTTACACTAATTACCCATATAGTTTGTCAAAATAAACATAATCCTAAATTGTCAAGAATTGTATAACTTATCATTCAAAACAACACATCATCAAAATCTTCCTCTCCTAAAATGATGATTTCATTACCATTACAAACTTTATTTTCTATTTAAAAATTGACTTTGTAAATCACTCAAGTAGATATATCTACACAAATCAAACAAGAGAGAGGGAGTTTAGGTCGATATTAAACAAAGCACACATCATTTGGTTCATTATTTATATCATCACATTATTCTATAGAATATTATCTACTTATTCATCTCCAGCTAATTAAGAACAATTATCATCTCTCAGTTGCCATCTATTTTCACATAGGTAGCATTTAGAATACATACATTATTAGCATTCTAACTAACAGATTTCTCAACATTCATCACTGGATTCATTTTAATATCCATAATATTTTGAAATTTGATTATTTATTGCATTACTCTAATTATATTGCTCAGTCTATCAATTTCATTTGAATATACTAGTTTACTTCTATTCTCAGGATTCGTTATTTGAGATCTAACTAGATCTATATTTTTCATTTTTTACTTTAATTTAAGCATTTAGTCTATCGATATATAATTATCAATCTGGAAATGATATTTGTAATGAATAGAGCTCTTGTCTATTCCTTAACCTTACTGTATTCTTATTATTTCATAACTCAATAATGAAATTTTGTCCTCTAATCTTTTTATTTATACTTGTCACTAATAGTTAATTATAATTTGGAAATACAGGATCTTAGATTATCATGTTATTCAACCTTCAATCTCAAAGTATTATGAATCCCTTTCATTTTCCTATTAAATACTCCTCTACTTAAATTTGGAGCATTCCTAAAATTGAAGATAGTATTAATGTAATGGTAATTACATTATTTACACTGCTAAGGTTAATAATGCTGTGACATTGCTCAAAGTACAATCTAGTTCACCAAATCAATAAGGCTGTTGGTCAATCACTTTTTTTTTAAACAAATTATTTTTGATAAATAATCATCGATATATATTTAACTAAATTTAACAGTGTAAAACAAGTTTAGTTTTCTAGTGCTTGAATTAACCAATTTCTTAAAGACTTTTGAAACAATTTTAATTAGCTTTGAAAGATATTATGTATTGCAGCAAACTCAAAAATATCCCAAACAATAATTAGTTATCTCATTATCGCTACTACTACACTTTGGAAACCTGAATTAAATTATTGGTGTGTTTCTTGATTTATCAATAGATCCGACTATTTGAAAATTAAAGTGGTCCACTTTAAAAAACCAATAAATTAAATTTATAGGTAATATATCCTAATTTCTAGATATAAACAATATAAATAGGGTATTCCTAAGAAATGCAACAAGATAAATGAGCAAGAAAGTTGATAATATTTTGATTTCACCTTAAAATTCTTAATAGATCAAAGCCAGTCCCAAGAAATTCTAAATATTTTCTTACCCCTGCTTTGGCGTGCAAGAAAATATCCTCTAATTATAACAGATGAGGCTGTGTAGAATATCTCGAAGAGCAAAAAAGTAAATAAATGTTATGAACTCAGATATAAATGGAACAATCAAAGAGACAAAGACCATCCAGCGGTTATCTCATATAATCTGTGATAAGAAAGTATCCTTTGATATGAGTACTGCATTTCATTTATTTACAATTGTAATAAATAGCCAACGTTTCATAATATTGGGTTATGGAGAGTGAAAAATATATGAAGAATCAAGCTTGTGATGAATTATTTGAAAGGTTAGAAGCTTAGAATATGAACAACTAATTTAAAAGTAATATTGTAATCAGTTAGGGATGCTTATAAAATATCAAAATAATATTAGACGAATTGAAATTCCAATTTCAAATGCAGATACTACTGATAATGTGAAACTGATTGATGCTAATGAAATGATTTTAAGTTCTAAGATTACATCAATGAATTTCAATTAAACTTTGATTAGAGGTGTTAGCTCTAAACATCATATCAAATTCACTGAAATGGAAATTGAACCTAAATTAAGCAATTTCACATAGGAATATTCTCATTTAATAAATGTAGTAGGATAGCAGCTCTTATCAATCTATCATGATTTTTATAGCGAATACCAAAGCTTTATTATAGTATGTAGAATAAGGTGAAGTCTAAGGACGATTAACTTATAGAATTCAAACTTATCTCGCAAGATTGAAAACGAGAGTATGAAACAAAAGTGTTGCTTTCAATAACCCAAAATTTGTCATACTCTAAGAATGCATCCAAGCAAAAACTTCATTAAGATGCAACTAAGCCGATCCAATATAGAAGGTATTCAATTTAAATTAGAAGATCAAATATAGATTGATTGTTCTACCTTTACATTCTTAAAAAAAATTGATAATTTACTTTCAAGTTAATCTAAACAAACTTATATTGATTAATTGAAAGAAAAGTAAATAAATGTTCTATTTTTCTTAAGCAAAACCAATTCCCTACCTATGTTCAAGAAAACTCCCTTGATGAACTTGTAATACTTGAAGCTCTTCTTATAAATAAAATATTAGACATCATTATCAACAAAAATTATTAAGATTATTGAAAATGTAATATTGTAGTACTTAATTTCTCACAAGTAAATCAAATAGATTAAACACTATTCAACTGTTGGTTTTTATTTTGTAATAATTAATCTTCAATATTAAAGGCATATAAAGTGACTAAATGAAGGTTATATTCTAATAACTAAATAATATATCACCCAGTTGATTTCTAACTGATGTACAATAAAGCCCTAAAATAATAATTAAAGAAATTTAATTTTTCAAATAATATAAAAACCACTTCAAGAAGATAAGTTATATTTGCAAAAAATTCTAGGTTGTTTATTCTCCTTGTCCTTGGTTAATCTTTGGAAATAAACTTATAAGTTGATAAATCATAAATTTCGTAAACCCTAAACAAATATTGGAGGCCAGCTAAGAATCATAAAAAAATCTATCAAATATTGAAAATTATAAACACATAAAACTTCTGTTGCAAAGATATTTCTCCCCTAAATAGGAAAAGTTGAATAATATGAAATTAAATTAATATAAATAATAAGTTATATGCGAGTGAATGGCGAGAGCCGACGATTTATCTAAATTGCAATTATTCCTGATTACTTAGATGTATTAAGACTGTTAAATTTCGCCATTTTGATAAATGCTGCCCATCAGCAGAATCAATTTCGAAAAACATTATAAAAATCATTTCCTACCCCCATCGTATGATGTCGAGCATTAGATGTCTTTTTGGTAACCATTTCCACCTTTCCTGAAATTAGATTGATTTATTATTATTAATAATGTAATACTTTAAGAGATCAAAAGGAATAAGCCTTAAAATTACTAGCTGAAGGAACAAAAAATACACTTGATAAAATAATATTTAGGAATTATTCTAAAGGATAAATTTAGAATATTTGATGGGGACAAATGTTAATCAAGAAGACTTAAAGTTTTGGGATTCTTCTTGAATTTTCTTGCTGCTCAATGACAGGTCAATTCATTTTCATTTCTCTAAAGATCCTCATAATATTTCCTCCCAATTCCTTTTCTTTGCTACATTCAAATCNTCGCAAGATTGAAAACGAGAGTATGAAACAAAAGTGTTGCTTTCAATAACCCAAAATTTGTCATACTCTAAGAATGCATCCAAGCAAAAACTTCATTAAGATGCAACTAAGCCGATCCAATATAGAAGGTATTCAATTTAAATTAGAAGATCAAATATAGATTGATTGTTCTACCTTTACATTCTTAAAAAAAATTGATAATTTACTTTCAAGTTAATCTAAACAAACTTATATTGATTAATTGAAAGAAAAGTAAATAAATGTTCTATTTTTCTTAAGCAAAACCAATTCCCTACCTATGTTCAAGAAAACTCCCTTGATGAACTTGTAATACTTGAAGCTCTTCTTATAAATAAAATATTAGACATCATTATCAACAAAAATTATTAAGATTATTGAAAATGTAATATTGTAGTACTTAATTTCTCACAAGTAAATCAAATAGATTAAACACTATTCAACTGTTGGTTTTTATTTTGTAATAATTAATCTTCAATATTAAAGGCATATAAAGTGACTAAATGAAGGTTATATTCTAATAACTAAATAATATATCACCCAGTTGATTTCTAACTGATGTACAATAAAGCCCTAAAATAATAATTAAAGAAATTTAATTTTTCAAATAATATAAAAACCACTTCAAGAAGATAAGTTATATTTGCAAAAAATTCTAGGTTGTTTATTCTCCTTGTCCTTGGTTAATCTTTGGAAATAAACTTATAAGTTGATAAATCATAAATTTCGTAAACCCTAAACAAATATTGGAGGCCAGCTAAGAATCATAAAAAAATCTATCAAATATTGAAAATTATAAACACATAAAACTTCTGTTGCAAAGATATTTCTCCCCTAAATAGGAAAAGTTGAATAATATGAAATTAAATTAATATAAATAATAAGTTATATGCGAGTGAATGGCGAGAGCCGACGATTTATCTAAATTGCAATTATTCCTGATTACTTAGATGTATTAAGACTGTTAAATTTCGCCATTTTGATAAATGCTGCCCATCAGCAGAATCAATTTCGAAAAACATTATAAAAATCATTTCCTACCCCCATCGTATGATGTCGAGCATTAGATGTCTTTTTGGTAACCATTTCCACCTTTCCTGAAATTAGATTGATTTATTATTATTAATAATGTAATACTTTAAGAGATCAAAAGGAATAAGCCTTAAAATTACTAGCTGAAGGAACAAAAAATACACTTGATAAAATAATATTTAGGAATTATTCTAAAGGATAAATTTAGAATATTTGATGGGGACAAATGTTAATCAAGAAGACTTAAAGTTTTGGGATTCTTCTTGAATTTTCTTGCTGCTCAATGACAGGTCAATTCATTTTCATTTCTCTAAAGATCCTCATAATATTTCCTCCCAATTCCTTTTCTTTGCTACATTCAAATCTCATTAATAATGCTTCAATAAGAAAATTTGGTCAAATTAAGATAATAAATTAATATTAACCTTTCTCTAATAACTCTGTCATTGAATTACCAATTACTCAGCAAAAAAATGGAAACCACCCAAAATCATTAGAAATTAATTTTGGCCACAAATGAAAATCTAAAAAAAGATCACTCTACTTAAGGAATTTCAATACAAATTTGATCTTTCTAAATCAATCCAAAGATCAAAATATTCTAACCTAGAAGAGGAAAGCAAGAGTAAAATTAAAGAGAATCTAAACATAGTTACTTTTTGTTTTTTCAGTTTTATCAAATAAATTTATTTATTAATTTAACTTAATTTAATTCGTTATTGAGTGATTTTAAATGCTACAACGTTTTTTATTATTATATTACATTATCAAGCTTCTACTTTTACTAGGGCTTAACATTCTATCTTATTTCTTTGTATACAAAATCTTATTATTCCTTAACCAGAACTAATTAATGAAATATTTCCATAATTGTATTAAAAATAAGAAGTATTGTAAAAATTGAGCGAGGCTTCATTGGGTGAATTTCAATATTCAAAGATACTTCATAATAATCTCTTTTCGAATATTTCTGATATTGTTTAGCTACAAATTTCATACTATATGATATAAGAAAATAGGTTAAATAAATCAAATACATTATTATGAAACAGTAAACACCTTAATAATACTTTATTAAAAAAATTTAATGCTTTTTATTGTCTTTGTTAAATGTTGAAAAAAATTGAAAGATTAATACTTATAATTAAAATCTACATAGTTAATCTTATATTATAGTTTAATCAAAAGAATATCCCTTTATTACATATGTATATTTTGGATTAAATCTATAAAATGTGCTTAATATTAAATTAATATTGTAATATAACTTCTAATGGAAATTTCTAATTTATATTGGGTAGGGTAGTCTATTACCAAACAAGAATTAATTCTTCAACTATAATTGCTTCTCCATATAAAAAGTAGGCTTGAAATTGATAGACTATTCTAAATTACCCTTTTCAATTTCTGGTTTAGATTAATCGAATATCCCAATTTCAGAACATTTACTTCAGAATTCCAATCAAAAGATAAGTAATTTTTTAGATGACTATTGTTATTGATTGAAATCTAAAGTTGTTTCTATAAGGTAATTCTGATAAATCATCAATTTCTCCATTTATTGATACTTTATAGGTAATGAAGAATTTCCTTTTAAATACTAAATATATACATTTATCCATCATCAATACTCAATTAGTGATATCAAATAATATAATTTAATTATTCTTATGAAAGATGTAATCCTATTTTGATTTCAGAACTTGCTGGTGTCGAAACTTTTCAGGATTATATATTTATTTTTAAAGCTCTCCAGTCCCATTTGTCGAGCGTTATTTTTAAATGGTTTTTGATTAGTTCTACTTTTAAACTAATTTCTTGTTTTCTAAATAAAAGTAATGGACCAGTGCTATTTAAATCTAATTTAGTGTATTTTTGAAAAATTATGGAAATAATATATTTTCAAAGGTTGTTATTTGAGTTTAAAATATTATTATCTGCCTCCTTTCAGGAAATTCAATATTCACCAACTCCTT